CAAGATATTCAGTGAACCCCAGGCAAGATAACTAGGAAAATAATAATAACCCATAATGTACATCCTAACAAAAATGCTGAAAACCATGAAAGCAGCCAGCGGAAAAAACAGCATTACCTAAAGGGGAACATGATGCAAATGACCGCTGACTTTGCAGCAGAAACAACGGGGACCAGAATAGAAGGAACCAGACTTTAAAGTGCTAAAAGAAGAAAAAAAGGCCAAACTATAATTTTATCTGTTGGAATAACCTTCAAGAATAAAGGCTAAAACAAAGGCATTTTTAGGTAAAAAGAAAATTCATTACAACAGACTTCCACCTCAAGAAATGCTTTAAAAGAAATTCTTCAGGCTAAAGGGAAATGATACCAAATGGAAATTCAGATGATCAGGAAGGAACGAAGAGCACCGAAGATGGAAGAATGTGCGTAAGTACAAAGGACTTTTTCCTCTTAATTTCTTCAAAATACGTAAGCCCATTTAAAGCAAAAAAAATCAACACTGTATTATGGATTTTATAATATTTGTAAATGAGCTAATTTACATGCACATTCAATATCCACTATAATAAATATTTCTAGCCATACCATCATGACACTGGGTTTTAAAGCAAAACTTAGTTTGACATCTTTCATTTCTAAATGTTTCTTTAAAATTTCCTAAATTTGGACCAAGTACACTCATTACTCTATTAGGTCTTCACAGGATTTCATGTTGCTCCTGACTCTATGCCCTTTATATTATTTTTTCTTAGATTTACATTTGTGATTTCATTTTCTCTTAAATCTTATATTGATAACTCTTATATTTTCTACATCTCCCATTCCATTATAACCTCAACTTCTTCCAAGTATTAATGTTTCCCAAATCTAATGGCGAATCATATGAAAGCTTCAGCATACTACTAACATGTTATTAGGAATCACCTAACATTTATACAGCTTTCTAATTTCTTAAGAATGCTATAAATTTAGCCCTGGCCTATGTGGCTCAGTTGGTTGAGCATTGTCCCATGCACCAAAAGGTCACAGGTTCTATTCCCATCAAGGCACATGCCTGGGTTTTGGGCTCAATCTCCAGTACAGGGTGTGCAGGAGGCAGCCTATTGATGTTTCGCTCTCCCTCTCTCTTCCCCTCTCTAAAAATCAATAAAAAATTTCAAAAATGAAGAAATTACAAACTGGTATTTTCTGAGGCTCTTCAGGTGCTCAGTGTTTGTCTTGTTAGTATTTCAGCCTCCTGCCTTGCTGTCAGGTTAAATATCACTTGACTTAAAAGTAAAGGTACCAGTTCTAACACTCCTAATTAGGTTACATTTAATTTGCAGTCATCTGTAACCTCAGATATCCAAGTATGGTAGACTTGTAAGAGTAAACAGGCTCTAAGAAGGAAACTACCTCTAACAAACACAAAAACACATTCTAAAGTTACAATCTTTTAGGAAACCAATTTGGCATCACATATATAAATACATCTATCTCTTGAATCAGTCTCCCCAACTTTGGGAATCAATCCTAAAAATAAAACCTAAATATAACAATGCTTTATGTACAAAGATATTTGTAGTAGTGTTGCTTGCAATCCTGAAATTATGAACTGCATAAGTGTCCCACAATAGGTAATATAGCACTACTATAAAAAGAGCATCATGTAGCTATTTAAAACTATTTGAATTTGTAAGTACGAAAATGCCTGTAATGTTAAGAAATACTGAAAGGAAACAAAACAAAATCCATAGCCCTTACGTGATCAGAGTACACCAATTTTTTCTTCTATTTATCTGAATCTTTTATCTTTCTACAACAAATGTGTGAAACTGATGAATGAGAGGAGGGTGATTTTTATTTAAAAAAAAGAAAGAGTAGACGACTTAATTTTCTCACCCTGGCTGAGTAGCTCAGTTGGTTAGAGTGTCATCCCCATACACCAAGGTTGCGGGTTTGATCCCCGGTCAAGGCACATACAAGAATCAACTAACGAATGAATAAATGGAACAATAATAATCAATGTCTGTCTCTGTCTCTCCCTCCTTTCCTCTCTCTCTATAAAATCAATTAATAAAAAAGCATAACTTAAAGAAATTTTTTCTCAAGAGTAAAGCACTGAAACTTTACTAAAGCTCTTTTTTGCTTACTTCCAGGTTTTCACCTGTGGTTCAAATAGATGAGGTCATAAATTGAACCTCTGGATAAATGTGAGAGGTCTCTTACCACTATGGATCAATTCTTTCATTTGCCCAGTGCAGGGGTCAATAAATATTTTCTATAAAGAGCTAGACAGCAAACATTTTAGGCTTTGTTGGTCTCTGTTGCAGCTTCTCAATTTTGCATTTTTAGCACAAAAACAACCATAAACAATAAAGAAATAAAAGAGCATGGATGTGTCCTAATGAAACATTATTTATCAACAGTAAAAATTTGAATTTCATATATTTTTCACATGTCACAAAATTCTTCCTTCTTCTCATTTTCCCCCAAACATTTAAAAACCTAAAAATCAATCTTAGTGGGCCAAATAAAAATGGGTAGTGGGCCAGATCTGGCCTGTAGGTCATAGTTTGCTGACCTCACCTACAGTGCATTTCCTTTCTTGACTGCTTCACAAAAAAAGGGGCAGACAATCCACTCTCAAATATGAGGAAAGCGAAAGTTAAGTATCAGGGCTTTGTTTTCAACTTTTTCAATTGTATTATCTACACACACTTTTAAAAATAAGGAAGGTGATTTAAATTTCTTTAAGTGGCCAAGCAGGTTACAGGGAAAAGACTTTAAAACAAACAAACAAGAAAAACACACACAAGACTCAAAATTAGCCTCTCATTTTAGGATAGTGTCTTTCAATCGGTATGCCAACAAGAATTTTTAAAACATGCAATACCTACCCAGCCAGCATCGCTCTGTGGTTGAGCGTCAACCTATGAGCCAGGAGATCACCAATTCCTGGTCAGGGCACGTGCTAAGGTTTCGGGCTCGATCCCCAGTGGTGGGGGGTGCAGGAGGCAGCCGATCAGTGACTCTCACCATTGATGTTTCTCTCTCTCTCTCCCTCTCCTTTCCTCTCTCTGAAATCAGTAAAAACATTTAAAAAACAAGCAAACAAAAAGACATGCAATATCTGACTATTTAGTCAGGGACACTGACCTCTTTTCCCTTAGACTGTCAATAAAAAAATGACAACAGTCAACACAATAGCTGTTCAGTGTGAATGAATCAAAATTATAGTTTTTGGTGTGCCACAGAATTTTACTAGTTTGTGTGTGCCACGAAATGAAAAAGGTTGAAAATCATAGGTTTAGGGTGTTGTCATTTATTTCAAGCATGAGCAAGAGAATGAAGAACAAAGTGGGCAAAACAATGGGACAGAGAAAATAAACAGTTTCAACTCTCCTGCAATAACCTCCATATTCACATAATAAAGTTGAAGGGGCATGGTAACACATATGCCACTAAATGGGACTCCAAAATGCCAATCTGCTATGTCTTATGTGGCTACAAATGTTGGTATCATTTTGACAGGGGTGGGAGTGGGGAGTAAGAATTTGGACCTAAATTTAACAACTTCAGATCTTAGGGAAGAAAAAAGAATAATCTTTTCTTTTAACAAGCAACAGAGTACCTAGCAATCAGTTACATAATATTGGACTATGTTTAGTTACAGAAAATGTATCCAGGAGTATTTATAGTACAAGGTACTACTTGGGGTGTAAAAGAAACTTCCCAATATTATTTCCTTTAATAATTAAACAATTAGAATTTACTAATATAGAAGATACATAATAAAAACTTTATGGCCAAGAATCTGTGTAATCTTGAGGTAAATTTGAATTAATTTCTGAGGTTATGTTTCTGCTTCCTAGTAAAAGAACAGTGTTTTATTAAATTTTAAAATGCAACATCACAGCCATACATCATCTTATGGCGCCTCCCTTTAGTGTACTTCACAGATGTGTTTTTACAATGTAAAGGCAAGGCCCTTTATCAACAAAAAGATTATCACTTGCTTAATTGTGATACTTGCTTTATTGTGGTGGTCTGGACCCAAACCCAAAATATCTCCAAGGTATGCCTAAAGTTAATTTTTCTAATAGCAGCGTTATTACTAATTATGTGAGAAAAATTAAAGAGTATCAAATAACTTGGTTAAGTTCTGTGAGTTTTCATATTACCAATGTATAATTCAAAAGGTTTACAAAGTGCGAAGAATCAAGAATATGCATTAATAAGTACATTTATATCACTAAGAATACTAATTTTTCTCAGCATCTAATCCAATTCCTCATCATATACCTATCATAAAAAGTTAGGGGACAAACCCATTTAAAGCTACAATAAATGGTATTAAAGCACTTTCTACCACCATGACACTAATCACATTTTCATATTATGGTTTTATTTTAAGGCCATAGTAGAAATTAAACTTGGCTCAGAGGGGGTATGGAAAGAACTGTGTCATAGCCACCTAAATGCTCCAATATTGAATGAAAAAATTTTCCTATATTTTATAAAATGCAAATTCAGATCATGAAATCAATATCTAGGGAGTGACCATAAATGCCTTCATATATATTAAGTAAACAATGTCCATTTAAATAGAGACAATGAATAAAGTCCTTAGACTTTTTGTAATGCTGAAGACACTACTTCAAATTAGTCCTCTAATACCTAAGGACTACTGCCACCTTATGTATAAATTACAAAAACAACAAAATTACACGAAAAATTCAAATAAACATAAGCCAGTATACGCAGAGTAACTTATGCTGCTTATGAAATATTCCTATTCTTGGTAGTTATCCTCCTTGTAGTGTTTTTAAGGAACTCATCATTGAGCAAACAAACAGGTGTCAACGTCCTTAAGTACCTTGTCTCTTCAACATATTAAACCACTTTTGCAAATTTGCCAACAAAATATATTTGGTTAGCAGTGCCTTTTCTTATCCATACGAGAAACGTAAACCTAAATCCAGACTTAAGTATTTCTAGACCATTAGCCTTCAAAGATTTAACATTAGGAGGTTCTACTAATCACCAATACCTAGTAATTTGTTATTTGGGCGAGGGGGTTCATGAATCGAATCAAACACTTTTCTAGTGGTGTTAGACAAGTCACTTAGCTAGCTAGTAGTTGAGTCAAGATCCGCATCAACACTTTTTGGTATTTGCTACTTGTTTGTCCATGTACTTCATCAGGGAATTACGTATGCTTGTTTTACTAGCATAAAGAACAATATTACTGACTCAACTATATTGAAAACAAGTTAAGTTTTATGGTTTAAACGAAATTTAGCAAAAACGTGTTATCAAGCATTTTGTGGCCTCTGTGGTGCCCAAATCTGCAATGTTGGGCTCCAATAGGGACTTAGGCATGCTGGTGGAGCTGGGCGAGGAAGTCGAGGATGACAGCTCCGTGGAAGCAGAATATGCTGCCATCAACTCCATGCTGGACCACATCAACTCCTGTCTAGACCACTTGGTAGAAAAGAATAAACACCTCCATGCCCGACTCCAGGAACTGCTCGAGTCCAACCAGCAGGTGTGCCTTGAGTTCCAGCAGCAGCTGCAGGAAGGGCCCCCAGGGATGCCAGCCCCTGGACTCCAGGAAACCCCCAACCAGGCCCCAACCCTGTCTATCTGGGCCAGGCTCTAGCCTGGGCACTTACCACCTGACTTAGATACCTTCTCAAGGGTTGGCCTACAGGTACCTTGGCGGTTCTGTCTGCTTGAGCCATTCTTCAGGTACTGCCCTCAATGTGTCTAGGCTAACCCTCACCCCCAAAACAACCTCCCCTCCCCACGTCAAGTGTGGGCCTTGCCTGCCTGCCCAATTCCTGGACACTCTCTGTTTTGCCCAGGCCTTGAATGTCCACATTAAATGGGTCTCCAACAATTTAAAAAAAAAAAAAAAAAAA